CAAGAACCGTGGGAATATGAGTGCCAAGAACCGTGGGAATATGAGTGCCAAGAACCGTGGGAATATGAGTGCCAAGAACCGTGGGAATATGAGTGCCAAGAACCGTGGGATATGAGTGCCAAGAACCGTGGCAATATGAGTGCCAAGAACCGTGGGAATATGAGTGCCAAGAAGTGTGGGAATATGAGTGCCAAAACCGTTGGAATATGAGTGCCAAAACCGTGGGAATATGAGTGCTAAGAACCGTGTGAATATGAGTGCCAAGAACCGTGGGGAATATGAGTGCCAAAACCGTGAGAATATGAGTGCCAAAACCGTGGGAATATGAGTGCTAAGAACCGTGTGAATATGAGAGCCAAGAACCGTGGGAATATGAGTGCCAAAACCGTGGGAATACGTGTGCCAAGAACCGTGGGAATATGAGTGCCAAGAACCGTAAGAATAAGAGTGCCAAGAACCGTGAAATTCAGTGTCAAGTACACTGTCAAGTATATACCATGAGAACCATGACGACAACGAGTAATAGCAATATGAATAATTTGTACACAAGTAACGTGATGAATAATAGAATAATGATCGAGTAAGATGACTAGCATCAACGCGACTATGAGTATATAAACAAGCAACATTACTAAGATGTCCATCTCATCCTCCACGTAAATGTCAACATTAAAATCGTCGATTTGTCCGTCATTAAACATCATAACAAACATAAGATACATCAATACATAAATTAGCGCTCATTTGAATTCAAATAAAGTCCAGTAATAAGCGAACAAATTATTAAACTGATAATTTCAACGAGTGGCAAAATGGACGTGTTAAATGTTACGTCGCGTGCCCGTGGAGTTTTACGCGCCGTTTAGGGTCGCGAGGGCGGCGCTTAACAGGAACCAAAATTGAGATGGTTATGAATGAATTACGCGCGGCCTTGAAAGAGGGTTAAGATTATTTGAAATGGATGAAACATATAATAATGTGATTTATTAAGGCGGAAAAATAAGTGAAAGTTTCCTCAAGCAAACCAGCAGGAAAATAAAATTCACTAATAGAAAGAACCAATCTATTTCTATCTGGATAAGTGCTAGGGCACTTATCTATAAGCACTTATCGGGATAAGTGCTTCTATCTGGATAAGTGTCGTTATCTTTGATGCTTTTAGTACTAATATTCAGGAAATATCTATATCGAGTTTTTTATTAATAATATACAAGAGAAAGAAAAATATCTCACCAGCTGGTCGAGAAGCGTTCCAGCCGCCAGGTGGAGGGGCAGGGAAGGGGGTTGGTCCCCCTGGTGGAGGGGGAGGACCACCTGGTGGAGGGGGAGGACCACCTGGTGGAGGGGGAGGACCACCTGGTGGAGGGGGAGGACCGCCTGGTGGAGGGTGACCGCCTGGTGGAGGAGGGGGACCGCCTGGTGCTCGTACAGGTCCGCCTGGTGGAGGTGGTGGTGGACCGCCGCCAGGTGGCGGGGGTGGAGGTGGGGCCCGGATCCCGGGCATGGGGGGAGGAGGTNTGCTGAGTCATGCTGTGGCAGTAATGCTGAGTCATGCTGTGGCAGTAATGCTGAGTCATGCTGTGGCAGTAATGCTGAGTCATGCTGTGGCAGTAATGCTGAGTCATGCTGTGGCAGTAATGCTGAGTCATGCTGTGGCAGTAATGCTGAGTCATGCTGTGGCAGTAATGCTGAGTCATGCTGTGGCAGTAATGCTGAGTCATGCTGTGGCAGTAATGCTGAGTCATGCTGTGGCAGTAATGCTGAGTCATGCTGTGGCAGTAATGCTGAGTCATGCTGTGGCAGTAATGCTGAGTCATGCTGTGGCAGTAATGCTGAGTCATGCTGTGGCAGTAATGCTGAGTCATGCTGTGGCAGTAATGCTGAGTCATGCTGTGGCAGTAATGCTGAGTCATGCTGTGGCAGTAATGCTGAGTCATGCTGTGGCAGTAATGCTGAGTCATGCTGTGGCAGTAATGCTGAGTCATGCTGTGGCAGTAATGCTGAGTCATGCTGTGGCAGTAATGCTGAGTCATGCTGTGGCAGTAATGCTGAGTCATGCTGTGGCAGTAATGCTGAGTCATGCTGTGGCTGTAATGCTGAGTCATGCTGTGGCAGTAATGCTGAGTCATGCTGTGGCAGTAATGCTGAGTCATGCTGTGGCAGTAATGCTGAGTCATGCTGTGGCAGTAATGCTGAGTCATGCTGTGGCTGTAATGCTGAGTCATGCTGTGGCTGTAATGCTTATCATTAAGCTGTACTTATCATTATCAAACACAGAAACAAATCAATGATCAGCAAAGGGACAAACAAGGATAATGATAACGATAGATATGATAATGATTATAAAAATTATAGCGAATAAGAATTACATGCAAACAATAGACATGTAAAGCATGCCGCCCCCGAGCAACAATTATCGTACATGATCACAGATTATCGTTATCTATTGCAGTTCATCTTATATCATCGTTGTTTAGGGAAGAGTATCGTCGTTTGTGGTTTAGTTCATCGTAGATTATCGTTGTTTAGGGGGAGTTCATCGTAGATAATCGTGCTTTGCGGTATAACTGGGCCAGCTTAATGGTATCGTATAAGCAGCCAGTATCGCAATCGTCGCGGTTATAGCAAAATTTATTCGGTAGCTTTATTACAACAGAGCGAGTGATCTGTTGTAATAAAATGTATTTCTGTTAAGTGTATCTCGTCGAGACGCTTCGGTAGTAAGTCATCAGAATTGTAAAAAATATTTACAGTTTGGCCGTGAGAGTTGAAAAACCACCGAAAAATGGCCGAAATAAAAATTTGCAGGGTTAATTTTGACCCCCAATTTGTGGGGTCCCTAATGTGGGTCACGTCGACCCACATCAGTGCCTAATGTGGGTCACGTCGACCCACATCAGTGCCTAATATGGGTCACGTCGACCCACATCAGTGACTAATATGGGTCACGTCGACCCACATCAGTGCCTAATATGGGTCACGACGACTCCCATCAGTGCCTAATGTGGGTCACGTCGTCCCACATCAGTGCCTAATATGGGTCACGTCGTCCCACATCAGTGCCTAATATGGGTCACGTCGTCCCACATCAGTGCCTAATGTGGGGCACCCAAATAGATGGGGTAAAGGAGGAACAATGTGCAGGTTACGGGTTGAAACAAGCCACAACAACCCGTCTCTTCAACCCAGAAAAGCCGTAAAATCAACCCAGAATCAAACCGTGGGAACCAAAAGCAGACAGACGAAACAGGCGAAAACGGACAGAAGATGGACCACGAAATGGACGGAAAATAAGAAGATGGAAAAACACAAGGACCATGACCGAAAATCAACAATGATAGACGAACAAATATAAGGTATGGTGCAGAAACAACTAAGCAGGGCGTGGAACAATGAAAATGGACGAAAAAGAACGAAATTGGACAAAAAAAAACACAACAATAGACAAAAAACAACGAATATGGACCAAAAACAAAAAAAATTGACAAAATAACGAAAATTTACAAAAAAAAACGAAAATGGATAACAAACAACGAAAATGGACAAAAACAACGAATATGGAGAAAAATTGCAACGAAAATGGACAAAAACTGCAGATCTGGAAAAAAATACGAGAATGTTCGAAGAACAACGGTAATAAAGGAAAAAAAATCAGGTCCGACGCGACGTAAAGTAACGTAAATCGACGTAACGCAACGCAACGTAAATTAACGTAATGTAACGCAAATCAACGTAACGCAACACAAGGGTAACGGCGACACGCGATACCTCGAGCGACGGCATGGAGCTCCTGTTGAATCTGCTCCTCTGTTGACTCTGTTGGCTCCATGGAGCCTGGAGACGATGAATCTTGGGGAATCATGGTGAGTGAATCTTGAGTCTGACTTGTTGAATCGTGAGTTTGATTCGCTGAATCAAGTGTCCGATTCATAGAATCTAGGGTCTGGTTCGTAGAATCGATGGTCTGGTTTGTTGAATCGAGGGTCTGACTAGTTGAATCGGGGCTTTGACTTGTTGAATCGTGGGTCTGACTCGTTGAATCGGGGCTTTGACTTGTTGAATCGTGGGTCTGACTCGTTGAATCTTGAGTCTGAATCGTTGAATCTTGGGTCTGGCTCGTAGAATCGAGTGTCTGTCTTGCAGGCTCGTGGGTCTGACAGACTTGGTCTATCAGCACCAGTCTGCAGGTCTGAACATGAGTGTCTGCAGAGGCTACCTGAACCTGCAGACCAACGTGGGCTGCAGATCTGAGGGGACTCTGCACGGCCTTGCAGACCCCAAGAGGGGAACAGGTCTGTACAGACCGCGTCACGAGGGTCTGTACATTCACAGTCTGCACCTCTACAGACTTTACCTCTACAGACTTCAAGTCCCCAGCGAAGTCTTCAAAGCAGCAAGAAAATTTAAAGACTGTGAGTTTTCATTTTTTATACCATACCCATTTCTGGGTATAAAAATGGGCATAATTTTCGTTCTAAATAAATTACATTTCTAAATAAAGTTACCCCATTCCTCTTTCATCGAAATTTCCCAGTAAATGAATAAGTTGAATTATAAATGAATTCAAACATTAACACAATTTTGTATCCTGGCACGCTGTTTTACCAGAAAAACTGAGTCACAGTGACTCATACAAGAGCAAAACGTACATCGCAATTTGGACTGAGTCTTCCTTATCTCTGTGAGTGTACCAAATAAATCGCTTTACAGTGCACATGTACGAAAAAATATTGGAATACCATTAATACAGGTAATAATATAAGGCAATAATATCAGGAATAGAAATATATGATATATATTTATGGCGGAGCTGTCATAATATAAATTTTATCCGTGCACTAATGCGTAACTATTGATCTTCAGCAGAATACGAGCTCTCACTGTTCAGAATTATTCGCTGCTAATCTGCATCGATGCTAATCGATTAACATCGATCGCTGCTAATCTGCATAGATCGTCATCGGATCGGTGCAGACAATTCCGCGCTAATCGATCCCGAAAAAGAAGGACTTTGCCCCGATCGCCGCCAAGTAATCCGCATCATTATTTCACATTAATAATAATAATTATTAATGCGAATAATGGCGGCTTGAGAATCTCATACTAATCTTAATTACTGGATCCTAATTTCTTAATTATTAACCCAGAAATAATACATGGGAGACCCGCTGTATTAATAACACACAGCGACCACACAGCGTACCTGCTTCTGTGTACTTGGCGCCCGGTCTGGGGGCTGTGTCGGGGGGCGGGGGGGTCCAGGCGCCCCCCTCCCCCGCCTGGGCCCAGTAGTAGCGACCTTCACTCTGTGGGTTTAGATCAATTAAAATTATGATAATGCAAAATAATATAATATAATATAATATAATATCATATAATATAATATAATATAATATAATATCATATAATATAATATAATATAATATAATA